TTGCCTGCCTGTGCTGCAGAGAGATTTGCTTGTACTTTCTGTGTTTCTGGAAAACCTTCCACACTCTTCTTTGAAGAACTGGTGTTCATGGGGGGCTGTGGGGGGAGGATGGAGGGCTAGAGGGAAGTCTCTCTCTCTCTCTCTGTGTCACACACACACACACACACACACCTTTTTATTTGGTATAAGCCCCCCACCAAGTGCTAGTGACATTGCCCTGATAGACAAATTGTAGTTTATGCCGGTGATTCCTGGTCACTTCTGTGTAACTCTTATGTTTGGCTTGAAGTGAGCAAAACTGCAGTTCTGGTACAGCTGACCCTGAGGGAGGGACTCCTGTGTGGAGGCTCTGGCAGCTGTAGATTTAGTCCCTCGTTCTGATTACCCCTGGAGCCAGAAGGCGGATAAACTCTGGCTGTGGGAAGGAGATGCTGGAGATCAAGATACAATTTTTCACACTCACAAGGCCTAGGATATAGCGCTGTGGCACAAGCGCCTGCCTGGTAAGGGTGAGGTCCTGAGTTTGATTCTCAGTTCCAAAAAAACAGATCACATTTTCACATTCTGAAAAATCTTACCAATTCCAAGGCTTTAATTTGTGCCTGCCTGGGGGTTGAGCCTAGGGCCTTTGCACCGAGTCGCTGTCCCTTGCTGCTGGAATTGCCTGGGGAGGACCTGGCCTGTGAGCCTCCTGGCTCAGCACCCCAATGTGCTGGGGTGGCAGGTGGATGCCCAGTGGGCTTCTGAGGCATTGGTATAGGAGGTGGCCGGAGTGCTGTGAAGCTTGGGTACGGGGAGGGCGGGCTCTGTCTGGCGCAGAGCTGTCACCCAGCTCAGCCACACACTGAGTGTGCAGGAGTTGGGTGACCTCTGGCTTCCCGCTGGGCTTGCAAGGATGTAGGTGGTGCAGGACACCATGTGTCCTGGTGTAGCGCATCATGCTTCTGCCCTTTGGTCCAGAGAATGGATACATCTTTTTTCAGACTGGCTGGAACATGTATGTTCTCTGCAGCATAATGAGTTCCTTTGGTTTCCTGGGAAAGTGTGGTTTTGATATGAGTAGATCTAGAAGTAGCTGGGTTAGGTTAGGAGCCACAGACCCCTGGGCCTTAAGCAGTTCGCCATCATTGCCCCGGTAGGTCGTCAGTGGGGAATGCAGACAGGCCATGGACACAAAGCGTTCTTCAGGCATGCAAGCAACCCCTGCTTGTTGGCATTTGGTTTGGTTTTGCTGCTGTTCTTGGCCCTGCAGGGCACGGGGTCTGTTCTGTCATCCCTCAGTGTTAGTGTGCATTTGCACTCTGTGGCTCTTGTCTCCAGTGCTGTGGACGGGGTGGCCCTGGGAGCCCCAGTGCCAGAAGCTCAGCTGGCTGCCGGTCCCCACTCTGCTGGAAAAGCAGTGGGTGCTCAGAGGACCGGGCCAGAACTTTGGCGTGCCTGAGACCTGTGGGGGAGGACCATGTCCCAAGACCCAAGACACCGTCTCCTGCTGCCTCTGCCAGCAGCAGGAGGGAGAGGACGGTGCTGTGTCCTGGTGCACAGGGTGTCTCTCTCTCTGCTTTCTGTGTTGGTCTGTGCTGTCTTTCCCAGGGTTTGGGTTTCTGCCTGTCAGATCTGTTTGCTGAACCCAGCTCCATAGGTCCCACCCCTCCTCCGACCAGGGACAATCCAAGGCCTACGGCTTCCTTCATAACAGCAAGAGGAGGTCTGCCTCTCAGGGGCGGGAGGAGGGGCCAGGTGTGAGTTCAGGGCATCCAGCCTCAGTCTCCCCGAGAGCACATGGAGTCCACGGTGCCCCTGCAGGTCTGGCTCAGTGGCCCTTGTGGGCCAACCTGCTCTACACAGCCCCTCTGCAGGCAGCTATTGTGCAGAGGACTCAGGTGCTGGCCACACACCCAGCCTGGAGTTCAGGGTGCAGCACTCCACCTTTAACACCGATGTGTAGAAGGGAGCCAAGGACAGGAGGTGTGGCTTAGTGACAGCACTTGCCCTGTGCGCATGGGGACCAGGGTCTGCGACCCAGCACCACTGCCGCTGCCCAGCCCGTCAGCTCCCCAGCACTACAGGAAGCCAGGGCCCTGCTCTGTAGTGAAACACAGGCGGACGACAACACCCTGTGCAGTGCTGCTGACTTTGCGCCTGCTTCTGGCGCTTCTCTCTCGTGTCCCCAAGCATGTGCAGCCTCAGGCCCTATTCCCCTTTTTGGGCGAGGTGCAGTTCTGGTGTTTAAGATCCCGGACTTGCTTTCTTAGATTCCCAAATGGTAGTGGGGTGTGCCCACGATGAGTTCCACGACAGGGCCTGGTGTTCTCTTTCCACCTCTGGTGTTTTGGCTCCTTTGTCTGTAAAACCAGGACTAAGTACTTATTTTCAATGGAGAATGTGTCTTGCAGCGTTCAGTCTCTGGCTTTCCTCGTCTCTCCAATAAAAGAAGCCAGGGGGTGGGGTATGAGTGCAGCTAGGGGTTTCCCATCGCTCAGTGCCTCCGAACCTGGAGAACTTCACGTTCTGATAGAACAAGGCCAGGCTCAGCGGTAGGGTCATCTTCTAGCTGGCTGGCACCAGACAAATACAAGCGGAATTGTAATTAGCAGTGCGTGTGATGGGTGGAAGTAGTGGAATGCTGCCTTTCCTAACCTGTGCTGGCGCTGCCTGTGGAGCCGAGCAGGCAGCCCGCAGCCCTGCCCTCCGCCCTGCCAGCCACACAGGATGTTTCCATTTGCTCTGCAGGCTAAAAGCCGTCAAGTCCTGGCGGGCTGTGTCTTATGTGAATCCCGTCCAGTAGCGGTGACACCTGTGCCTGGGAGGCATGCCACACGGCTTTGGGGCACCAGGGCCAGCTTCTGTGACTTTGGAGCCTGACTGGCCACACGCAGCTGGCCAGATGTGGCCGCACTCGTGCAGGAAACAAGGGCACTGCTTTGCTTCCCCGAGGCAGGTGGGCCCTTTTCCTGTTGCAGCACCTGAGTTCAGAATGGGCCGGGGCAGCCAGCCTGCACCCAGCCCTGCCCCCTGCCCCCCGTGTGATGCTGTCGCCAAGCAAGGGCCACACCGCCACGGCCACCAGAGACGCCTGTCAGAGCATCCCACTGAGGGCAGGACTGGAGTTGGTGACAGTCTTTGAAATAAATGGCTTTCTTTACAGTGTGCTGCGTCAGGCATTCGTCTTATTAATATAGCTGCCATAAACAAAAAGCATATTCCTTGTGACTGAGGAAATATGGGAAAGGACAGAGACACCACAGCGTTCCTGTATGTCTGTGCACATCCGTGTCTGGTGGAGCCTGGCTTAATTCATGGAGAATGTATCATTCAATATGATCTATATGTGTGTGCATATGTGTATGTGTGTAGTGATCTGATGGTGTGGAGTGTGTTTAAGCGTCAGCTGTGCAATCGGGAAATGGGCTTTTGTGTCCTTGTTTCGCCATTAAGGCTCACTGGAGAAGCCACGTAGGTTTTACCTGCTAAATGGTATAAGATACAAAGGTTACTCAAAGGAAAACAGTGAAAGGCAGTTTGCCACCTAGTCCCTCAATGTAAGTGGGCACCTGCTAAGTGCTTGAACTTCCCAGGAGGTCTCAGCCTGAACACACGCGTGTGCTTGACAGCGCACGCACCTCACTCTGCCGAGCACAAGGGTCCTGTATGTCTCTCTGGTGCACCTTGCTCTTGTCACCGTGGAGAGTTGGGCTGCCGAGGCACAGTCTCTGTGTTGAGCTCCGTCCTTTTTGTTGGCTGGTGAGGACTTATGTGCAGGCTTCCCAGGTTTGCCTCACCAGTGGCAGGCTTTGCTAGACGCACAGCGGCAGGTGGCCAAGCCCTGGACCCTGGCTTGTGCGCTGGGGAGCGTGCTTGTCGTGTGCCTTCTGTCTTGCTGCGCTGCCCCTTCCTCCTGTGGGTTCTGTAAGGCCACCTTCTCACTGTCGTTTTGCCACGTAGACAGCAGTGTAGTTAAGTGGTAGGGTTGGTGACCATTTGCTTTGTGATGATTGGCATCAGGCTTGGGCTGTCACAGTCCAGGCTTCCCGGGTCACAGGCAGTGTCGTTGCCTGTGCTAAGTTGGGATGGTGCTTGGCTGGCTGAAGGGTGGGCGTCCAGTTGCACGATTTACATAGTACCCCTGGTGTCAGCCCCCGTCTTACCTGCCTCTGTGCAGGGAGTGTGGCTTGAGGGGGGGGTCTCTGTCTTGAGTGTCTTCCCTGACCCAGGCATTCCCCTCAGTGTTTCCTCTCTGAGCTGCATGCCAACCTCTGCCCACCCATCACCTGGCTGGGCAGGTGGGTACTTTATTCCCCAAGAACTCCGCATCTCTGCTGTCTGATGTAGTCCTGCTGGCTTCACTGGAGGGTGCCCCTCAGTCTCACATCTTTGGCATCATACTGCCAAACAGTGTCTCTGGGCCTTCCCAGCTATGCTTCCTTTGGGCTGGGGTTTCCTGCTCTGAGTCGCAGGACCAGTAGCGTCTGGCCCACAGTCTGGCTGCCCACCCACACCACTTGTGTCCTGTAGACTGCGTGCTCCTGGCCGGCCTAGCTGCTCAAACATGTCTCCCCTTGGTGGGGTTTCAGAACAGTGTGACAATCTTAGTGCGCTGAATAAAGAACAAAATTTGATTGGCTCAGGCTCAGTTCCAGGACGTGGAAACATCTCTACCGCATGGGCAGGGCACTTAGGATGGTGTTTGGGTCTTGGTCACCAGAAAGACCAGCCTGGAGCTGAGTGGGGAAGGTGGAGCGGGTGCAGAGACCTACAGAGTTGCTGGCCTGGAGCTGCACTACAGACTTAGGCTTGGGATCCAAGGGCCTGCTGGCCTAGGCTGAGCTGCTCAAACTTAGGCAAGTCGGGGTGTGTGGTGGGGTGGGGGGGTGCACAGGCACCCAGAGGTCTCGTTAGCATTGCCTTCTGTGTCCCTTCTGCTGAGAATGGCATGGTGGGACCCTGGGCGCACTCTTGAGTGAGTGGTAACCTGTACCTGCTTTCTCCCTCCTCTTTTGCAGATGCCTTTGTGAATAGCCAGGAGTGGACACTGAGTCGATCGGTGCCAGAGCTCAAAGTGGTGAGTAGCCCCTCCTGGCCTCAGTGCTCTATCCTTGCCTGTGGAAGGAAGGGGCTCCATATGGGGCATGGACCCCACCCAGGCTGAGCTCCGTCCCTGGGACCCAGAGGCGAGGCATGCATCTTGGGGTGTCCTGGGAAGGGTCACTTGCTCCTGGTGATTGGAGGGTGGCACCCTGAGTGTCCTTGCCCCAGCCCCAGCCCCAGCCCCAGCCCCAGCCCCAGCCCCAGCCCCAGTCCCCATTGCTGTCCAGAGGATGGTCCTCTGGGTCTAAGGCCATTAGCATCCCCCCCTTTCCATGCACACACCACCATAGATTTCTCTGCTCTTGGCAGGGTGCCACAAGGATTTCTGTAATGAGCCTGTAAGTTTTGCTGTTTATTTTTAAGACATTGACTCTACCATATTATGAAATATTGGCATAAAATTAAAGAGTTTTGTGTTTCATTATAAACGCTACTCTTTTGGTGTAGTGAAAGGCTAGATTGATGTGCTTGTCTGCCTTGGGTTGCTGCGATGTGATACCTGAAGCTATATCTTAGAAGAGGAACTTGGGGTTCAGAGGTGCCTTCATGGTCAGCTGGTCCTGCGGCTCTGGCTGGAGGGGAGCAGAACAGCATAGTGGGGGGACATGGTTGCACAGGCAAAGCCTTGAGCTCATGACACCCAGGAAGGAGCAAGGGCTGTGCTCTGTGGCCTGTGGCCTGCTCCTCCCCACGAGGCTGCGTCTCTCTACCAGCTCCCAGTAATGCCTTCAAATTCTGGCCCTGCTGGTGAATTGATCTGGTGATGAAGTTAGATCTGATTGTGTCTAGAGGCATCCACAGCTGCACCGGAAGTGCTAGACAGATTAGCTAAGTGTTTCTCCTCCCAGTCAAGTTGACGGTTGAGATTGGCTAGTGTGGTTGGCTTATGTGGAAGAGGCCTGTCGTGGCCACCCTTGAGGCCTGCCCCACTCACATCACAGTCCATCAGGGAAGGAAGGAGCAAGTCCACTTCTTAAATAACTACTGTGGCTGAGCCTCCATGTCTCCGGCAAGCCACCTTGCAGTGAGCCTTTCTCAGAAGTGCCTGGAGCTCAGCACGTGCTGCTGGATTACGAAGGGCATATGGTTACCAAATCAGCCCATTGATTGGCTTGGCACTGCCGCGATCCCAGTAGCCCAGGTAGACTAGGAAAGGGGCAGAAAGGAGCTACTGCCTTGCTTGCTCTCGCCCTCCTGCTTGCTCTGGATCACTTCCGCTCTGTGAGGCCACCCAGGCTTGGAGCCAGCTGACTGAGCTGAAACCTCTGTGAACCAAGAGCCAAATAGACTTCTGCACCTCCACCCTTGGCTCTCCAGTGTTCATCTCCGTGGTGAGAAAAGTAAGACTATGGACTTGCTCCGTCACAGCACACAGGTCCTCGGGGGCTCACATACACGTACCCACAGCATGGCATTCACGTGGTGGGCTCTGACATGGGGCACAGCCCAGCCACCACGTTCTCACAGGGCAGGGGGCTGTGGTGGACATGCCCTGGCATGGCTCCCGCGTGTGCCTTCCCTCCCTGCTGCATTGGCTGTTTTCTCCCAAGCCCCTGGGCCCTTCTTCTCACTGACCACAACTTGCATGGGTACTTAAAGGATGGGGCAGGGTGGGGACAGGGCCCTTCCGGGTTCTTAGTCTCAGACAGGAAGTGCAGCAATAAAGACATTCAGGTCTTTGAAGAGAGCATAGAGGAGTTATTGCCACCAAAAATGCATGCTTTCAAACTTAAGAAGTGAAGACCAGTGTATAGGAGAGGCCTGAGGCCAGAGCCTGGGTTCCCTCTCCAGGCCCGCATGATGTCCCTGGGTGCCCTCCCTGTGCTCCTCCCCTGTGGCCCTTCCTGCCTTTCTCTGTGGCACCTACCAGTAGGTAGGTATCTTTTCTCCCCTCTAAGTAGCCTTCCGGTCAGGCATCTGTGTGGAAGCCCAGGGCTCCCCAGCACTGACTGCCAGGCAGCCCTGTGCCCACTCTGACCGACACGGCAGCCTCAGGCCCTGTGTGGCTGTGGAGGACTGCAGTGTGCCTTCTGGGACTGAGAAACTGAGTTTTCAGTTTATATTTAATCTGAAACAACCCGGGGCTGTGGCGTGATAGACCATTAGTCAGCTTTCCTATTGCTGGATGTAATCTGTTCCTAATGTAAAGGACAGCCAGCTTATGTTATGGCTCTGGGGGGTTCAGTCTGTGGTCAGCTGGCTTCACAGCGGGAGCATCGGGGTGGATGGAAGTGGCAGGGTACAGCTGTGGCACCTGTTGGCACGGTGCCAAGCAGGGAGCAGCTGCAGGAAAACAATGGGCCAGGGACCAGCCCTGGACCCCAGGGCCACCTCCCGTGCCACACTCCCACCAGACACCCCAAGGAGTATAGGCCACCAGCCTGCTAGGTATTTTTTAATACAGTTGTCTTTGGTACTTTTCTGTCGTTGCTGAGACAAAATACCCAGTGGCCAAAGTTAAGGAGGAAAGATTTGTTTAGCTCACAGTTTGTGGAGGTTTCAGTTCATACTTGGCTGGCTCCGAGGCAGAGTGGCACATGGCACAGGGCAGCAGTTTATGATGGCAAGCAGCAAAAGCAACTAGAGCAACTAGAGGACCAGCAGGCGCAGGCCTCTCTTCTCCCTCACATTGTACACAGGCTGCCACCCCAGGGTGGTACAGCGCTCACATCTAGCATCCCAGTGTTAGACCATGAATCAGCCACAGACTAGAAGCCACCCCATGACTGCATGAGGCTTTGGGGGGCCAGCTAGGCACAAACCCTGACACTGGTGAAGTTGACATATCAGGGTTACTCATCAGACTGCAACAAGCAGGAAGGGCCCCTCTCCTGAGAGCCCACTCCAGAGATCCGTGTATTCCCATACCAGCCTGTAGTCTAAGGCATTAGCTACCAAACCTGTTTTCTGCTAGTCTTTGTGAAGCATGTGGCTGTCTAGAGTACACAGTCCAGGCCCGGAGGTGGTTACCTGAGCAGGGCCTCGGTGTGGGCCACAGTTTGTGCCCAGGATCTAACTTTCCCAAGACTTGAGTTCATGGCCAGGATTGACTCTGTGTCATGGACCAGGTACTGGTCCCTGACTGCAGAAGGAGTCTTAGCCCCCGGTCACCTGGTGGGACGGCCAGTGCTGCTGTGGCCTCAGGTGTCCACCGGGGCAGTGTCAGGCCACGTGTCCTCGGTACCTCTAAGGATCCTTGTATGCCAATGCTGCTCAGGCCCTAAGAAGCACCCTTTGTCTGTCGGGCAGCCTGGAAACACTCACAGGGCTGTGATTGTCTGCCACCTCAAGCAGGAGCCGAGACAGGTGGCCCCTTAAGTCAGCACCTTAGGACTCCTGGCCCTGCCTCTGGGGCGTAGCCATGGATGATGTAACCTCAGTCTTCCAATGTCGTGTCTGCAGTGAATCCTCGGGCATCCGAAGATGAGTATCAAAGAGCACAGCGCAGTGTGTGCTGTTCCTGTGACATGTAGTCCCAAGTCTGGGCTCTGTGGAATTGTGCTGTGGTCTAATCCTTAGCAACCAGTTAGTGGGTTCTGGGGCTGCAGGTCCATGCCAGGCAGCACCGGCTTCATGCTTCTGCCCGAGTAGGAAGTGTAAGCAGGCTGTGGCCTTCTCCCTGCAGAGGGCCCTGGTCGGCGGTTGGTGCACTCTTGCTTGTGTGTTTTCCTTGACCTGGGAGCTGGACTAAAAGGGTCCGTTTCCTTCCAGGAAACTCATGGTTACCAGGTAGGTGCGGAGGCGCAGAGCCCCAGGCCCTTGCTTTTCCTTCCTATGATGCAAGGATGCTGAGACCGTGGCTTGGACCATTCAGAGCCCGCGCATACAGTATGGGGTCAGGAGCGACAAACTCCTGCTTCCTGGCATGCAGCTCTGGCACACAGGTGCTTCGTTTCTTCCCACGAAGCCCTTTGGCCCAGACTGGCTTGATTCCCCGCCCTCTGGCTGACACGCGGTGCAGCTGGGCCTTGGCTTCCCCGCGGAGCATCAGAGCCTGTGAGTGTTTCCCACCACTCTCATTTTCTCCTGACAGTCACCATTGCTTTCTACTAGTTGCAAGTGAAAGTCGTGCCCGTAATGTCTTTGAGATGGCCATGCACGCTAAATACTGCCCCACCCTACAGGGACCAGTGTTGCTCTGCTGCGGGCTGAGCTGGATCTGTGCCCGTCAGCCCACCAAAGAATGGGAGTACTGCTCTGCCCAGCAAGTGCAGGCTGCACAGCGCTCGACTTGGGGCCCTTTCTTCCTCAGGGTAGACTCAGGTCTTAATTAAAAATTCAATTCTGTGGCATATTGTTTTGGATTTTCTCAGCATGAAGTTGACAAACAGCACTTGCCCTTGAGTGGAAGAATAATTATCAGGTAGCTATTCTCAAGTTACAGAGGCCGCAGGTAAAGTGACAGGAGTCACATCCAGAGGGGAGGTGGCTTTCCGTAGGTCTGTCCTCGTAACCTGGCTTAGCGCCTGCCCCTTCACCACAGTGGAGGCTCGAGCTCTGCTCATTCGTCCTCTTCTCCCTTCCCCATCCCGGGGTGGCTAGCGAGATGAGCAGGACCGAGCCGCAGACCATACGGGGCTGGGCCGTTGTGTTGGAGGGCGGACACAGCCCATCATCCCAGTGTTACCTTAGGAGCTGGCGGCAGCAGGGTGTGGGGGGACTCTGGTTGGGGCCATGGCATCGGGCAGGTGGCCCAGTCCACGTGGGTTGCTGTAAGTGGAGGCCCTCAGCTGGGCAGCTTGTGAGCGACTGACTGACTGACTGACGGTCTTCTTTCTTTCTTTCTTTCTTTCTTTCTTTCTTTCT